CGCTCGCCCCGGCCCCGCAGGGCGCCCCCTCCCGGACCCTCACCCCGAGAACCTCCCCGTCCTGTCGCCGGACGAAGCCCCCAGCGCACCTGTCAAAGATGCGGAAGCACTCGGCCAGCTCCTCCTCGCTCTTGCCCTTCGCGTCCTCTTTCATCTGGCGCACCATCATGACCAAGAACTCCTCGAAGTCGATGGTGCCGCTGCCTGCGGGGCGCAGGGGCGCGTGAGCCCGAGTCCCCCGGGGGTGCTCGCCTTGCCCCAGCACCCTGGCGCCCTGCCTCCGAGGGCTCCGCGCTCACCGTCCTCGTCCACCTCCTCGATGATGGCGTCCAACTCCTCTTTGGTGGGCGTTTGGCCCAGCATCCTCATCACGGTGCCCAACTCCTTGACGCTGATGTCCCCGCCGCCATCGGCGTCAAACATGTCAAAGGCGGCCTTGAACTCTGCGAAGGGAAGGAAGGCAGAGGGCTGAAGTGAGCCAGCCTCGCATCTACCATCCTCCCAACCCGGGGGAACCAAACGCCCCAGTACACATCACCCCCACAGACAGACAGATGGCCGGACAGCTGCCCGCCCCCACTCACCAGCGATCATCTCCTCGCTGAGGTAGGACCGGGCCTCAGCCTGCTGGTCCGTCTGCAGGAGACACGGAGTCAGAGGTGCAGTCTTGCCTTAACCTGCCCCCTCGACCCCCACCTGTTGGAGCCCCCTCGGTCCTCCAGGAGAACAGCTCCAAACCCGCCACCCCTCCTGCCGCCCCCACAGCCCCAGCCCGTGTGGAGAGTAGAGAGGGAACAGATTGTGCCCAAGGCTTTCCCACTTGTCAGCCGGAGGTCAGGTCAGCAGCCCCCCAGTCACCTTGGGCAAGTTACCTCATGTCCCCTCGTCCCCTCACCTTTTCTCAAAAGCTTTTCAGGGATGAATGGAATCAGGGCTGTGAAAGGACCTTATAAAATGGACCCCATTCCAGGAAGATGTTCCCATTTTCCCAGCTCCTAACAGTGCCTAGTACTTGAATAGGTGCTCAATAAACGTTCTCAAGTCAGTAACGCAGCACCAAGTTACCCAGCACCTACTAAGCGTCAAGCCCATACACCAGGCACTGGGACCACCAAGCAGAGTCAGACACATCAATCCTCCCCTCCGGGAACTGGCAGAGATGGAGATTTT